TTCCTCCAAGTCATCTGGAAAGGGTCCCATGCAATAGTCTAAGAACAAGCAATTTCCAGTGGATAAAGACCAATGTCTATATTGTGAGAAGACGGGACATTATAAAAAGAATTGTCCCGATTTCTTAAAGATGATTATGAAAAATAAAGGTGAGAACATTATTACGTTCGTAAATGAATCCTTGTATGTCAAGTTTTCAAAATCTACTTGGTGGATTGATTCAGGTGCAACTATTCATGTTGCTAATTCATTACAGGGATTCCGTTCGATGAGAACTTTGCAAAGAAGCGAAAGTTTCATTAAAGTCGCAAATGGAGTACAAGCATATGTTGAGGCCGTTGGCGATCTTCCACTAGAGCTTGCTGATGGCTTTATACTTTTTCTTAGAGATGTTCTTTATGTACCTTCTTTGCAAAGAAACTTAATTAGTGTATCAAAGTTGGACCATGATGGTTATGATTGCCATTTTGGAAATGGCAAATGTCAGATATTGTTTAATAATAGATGTATTGGTCTTGCCTTCCGATAAGACGAGCTTTATTTGTTATCACTTCGTGAAAATATGAATTTCGTATGTGATGTGAATGAGAATGTATCCTCATCGAACAATGCAAACAGAAAACGAAAGAGAACTCACGATGCGTTGTCGAAATTATGGCACTGTCGTTTAGGCCATATTTCGAGGGGGAGAATAGAAAGACTAGTTAAGAATGATATTCTTCCTCCATTAGAGCTCTCAGATTTAGAACAATGCAGAGATTGCATAAAAGGAAAGTATGTAAAGAAAATTAAAAAAGATGTCAAACAAAGCGCAGGAATTCTACAGATTATTCACGCAGATATTTGTGGTCCTTTTTCCATAAAGAGTGTGGATGGTTTTGATTCATTCATAACATTCACAGATGATTACTCCCATTATGACTACATTTATCCAATTAAAGAAAGAACAGAAGTGTTGGATAAATTCAAAATATTTAAAGCAGAAGTTGAAAATTAGCATGATTTAAAGATTAAGATAGTCAGGTCTGACCGTAGGGGGGAGTACTACGGTCGGCATACCCCATATGGACAAGTTTCTGGACCTTTTGCAAGGTTCTTATAGGAGAATGGTACAGTTGCCCAGTATTCAACACCGGGCGAACCTCAGCAGAATGGAGTAGCTGAAAGGCGTAACCATACCCTGATGGATATGGTGCGTAGTATGATAAGTTACTCCACTTTACCGATGAGTCTGTGGATGGAGGCGTTAAAAACCGCCATTCATATTCTCAATAGAGTACCAAGTAAGTCGGTGCTCAAAACACCATATGAGTTGTGGACAGGAAGAGTACCCTCACTTAACCACTTGCGTGTATGGGGGAGCCCTGCTGAGGCTAAAGTTTTTAACCCAAACATTGGGAAGCTAGATCCCAAAACAGTGAGTTGTCATTTCATTGGCTACCCAAAAAAGTCAAAAGGTTTTCGTTTCTACTGTCCTAACAGACATACAAAGTTTGTGGAAACGAGACACGCTGTCTTCCTAGAGGATGAAATGATTAGGGGGAGCATGGTAGCTCGAGAAATTGACCTTGAAGAGAAGCGGGTGTATGCACCCACTCCGATAATTCATGAGCCATTTTTCTCACTGCCTGCTGTTGCTGCACCGACAGTACAAGACACTATGGTGCCAGCACCTGTTGTTATCCCGTCTGTGGCAACAATGAATGATGATGAGAAACCTGTTCCTCAGGATGCTATAGAAACTATTGTCACACATGAAGGGGAGCAACAACAGCCTCAAACAGAAAATGTGCCAAATGAGGAGGCCCCTAGAAGGTCTCAAAGAGTTAGAAAATCAGCTATTCCTGCTGATTATGAAGTGTACAACACTGAAGAATTTCAAATGGAGAATGATCCCACCTCATTTGAAGAAGCCATGAAAAGTGATCATTCACCAAAGTGGCTTGAGGCCATGGAAGATGAAATGAGATCAATGAATGCAAATAAAGTTTGGGATTTGGAGATAATTCCTAAAGGAGCCAAAACAGTAGGTTGTAAATGGGTCTACAAAACAAAACTTGACTCTCAAGGGAATATAGAGAGATATAAAGCCCAACTTATGGCAAAAGGCTTTACACAAAGAGAAGGGATTGATTACAATGAGACCTTTTCTCCAGTCTCATGTAAGGATTCCTTCAGAATCATAATGGCATTAGTGGCATATTACGATTTAGAATTACATCAGATGGATGTAAAGACGGCATTTCTCAACGGAGACTTAGAGGAAAATGTTTACATGGCACAACCGAAAGATTTTGTCATGGAAGGAAAAGAACGTTTGGGATGCCGCCTAAAGAAATCCATTTATGGATTAAAACAAGCTTCAAGACAGTGGTACTTGAAGTTTGATCAGACAATAAAGAATTTTGGGTTTAAAGATAATGTTGAGGACAATTATGTCTACGCAAAGTTTAAGAATGGGAAGTTTATCTTCCTTGTCCTGTATATGGATGATATCTTACTTGCTAGTAGTGATGTCAGTCTACTACTGAAAACAAAGAAGTTTTTGTCCTCAAAATTTGATATGAAAGATCTTGATGAAGCTTTGTTCGTTCTAGGGATCGAGATTCACCGAGATAGAAGTAAAGGGGTATTAGGACTGTCACAAAAAGCATACATAGAAAAAGTCTTAAAGAAATTCTGTATGCATAAATGTAGTCCCTCACCTGCTCCTATAGTCAAGGGCGACCGATATGGGGATTTTCAATGCCCCAGGAACCAATATGAAATCGATCAAATGAAAGTGATTCCATATGCTTCAGCTATCGAAAGCTTACAATATGCTCAAGTATGCACGCACCCTGACTTGGCATTTGTTACCGGGTTACTTGGCAGATTCCAGAGCAATCCTGAAATAGAACACTAGAAATTGGTAAAGAAAGTCTTGCGTTATTTGCAAGGAACGAAAGGCCTCATGATGACGTATAGAAGATCTGATTCACTCCATATAGTGGGATATTCAGATTCTGATTATGCGGGAGATAATAGAAAATCCACGTCTGGATATGTGTTCACTCTCGTAGGGGGAGCTATTTCATGGAAAAGCTCAAAACAAACCGTCACTACATCGTCCACAATGTATGCCGAGTTTGTAGCGTGTTATGAGGCAACGGGGCAGGTGAACTGGCTAAAGAAGTTCATACCCGATTTGAAGGTGGTTGACGACATCAATAGACCACTGAAGTTATACTGCGATAATAATCCAGCAGTACAGTATGCTCACAACAATAGGTCAAGTGGTGCTGCCAAACACATTGACATAAAATATTATGTTGTGAAGGATAAAGTCCGGGATCAAATGATAAGTCTTGAGCATATAAGTACCGAATAGATGCTCGCGGATCCGCTTACAAAAGGCTTACCACCCAACGTGTTCAGAGAACATGTAGCTGGCATGGGTTTAAGGGAAGGCCTATGACTCCTGAACTATAAAGGGCCCAAAAGTTAAAGTAACTATTTCAGATCAGAGACGTGCATTGTAGCTGTTAAATATATCGGCGATTGACCGTGACGATGAAACATGCTCTATGCATCATATGTGAAGAAATGAGTAAGGATAAAATGATTGAAGTTTAAAGTTTAAAGATAAAAGTAATAGTATGAGATCAAGGGGGAGAATGTTAGATTGATCTCCCAGCCAATAAGCCCAACGGCCTATTGGGCCTTGGTCACGCGCCCTGATCGGGGGCGCCCAACCCTACATGGTTGGTGGGCCCCCGTCGCACTGCGCTATATAAAGTGGTGGGGGCCGGCGGCTCGAGGTACGAGGTTCACCGTGAGCCAATCCGCCCCACCAACAAACTCTAAGTCTGATCTAGCAAGGGTGCGCAGCCAGCGATGGGAAGACGCCACCGTCATCACCGTCGGCTTCACTGCACATCACCTCGTTGCCGGACTTCACCGACTCTTCCCCGACCGTCGCTGCCCGTGCGCAGCCTACACCAGCGAACCTGATGGAGGCCACTGGATCTTCCACCCCTGCGGTCTCAGGTTTGGTACCCTTTCCCCTTCTCTCCCTGTCTCTCTCTAGACTGTTCTAGATGTATTAGGATCTACCGTTTTACATGTTATACCGAATAGGACAGTCAAAGGCTAGATCTATGATCCAACAGTTTTAACAAGAGGAAGTATATGTAGTGGTCATATGAGAGAGATGGAGCGCCCTATCTTTTCCTTACCATATGCTGCCATATGCCCAAAAAGGCAAGGGAAAATAAAGACGATGTGCATGCGCATTGATGTGTGAAAGGCGAACAGAGGGAGTAGCCAAGATAAGATCAGTTCATGTTACAAATTATTCACAAAAAGGTTGTTAGTAGTTACCCAAACAGCTAGTACAAGAGCTGGGACACCATACACCATGATGTAGATGTTGCTGCAAGAGGAATTTTTTGGGTTGTTTTGATATCTACCTTGGCAAATTGGCCACCCTGAGGATGGCCACTCAAAAGTGCGGTGGGTAGGATCATCCATATAATTTATATGATATCTGGGGTATGTATATGTCGGTCCTGCTCCTGTCTGTCATATGTGCGTGCACCTACAAGATGTGCATAAAGTTGCATGCAGGCCAAAACTGGCTCTCTTCACAAATGACAAGGCACATTCCTCTTCACTCTCCTCAGTCCTCACTCTCATTGCTCGCCGAAAGCTGGTGGTGAAAGTAAAGCACTCCCTCGTGCCATCCCTTGCTGTGGACTCATCTGTTTGGCTCTCCTCGCCCCGTCCTTGGATTCTTGCACTTGGAGCTTCCCTTCTTCTACCTCCCAGCACCACCAGCCCAAACCCAATCGATGAGATTTGCATTGCTCCCTCCTCCCTGGACCGGTACGAAGCTTTCCTAGGGATCGCCAGCCATTCGCCACACGCCGGGGAAGAAAAGGCTCTTCTTGGAGCCCTCTGCTTGGCCTCTCCCTGCTCTCCCCTCTCGCTGCAACTGCAAACAAGGCAAGGCAGGCAGCATGGCCGCCGCGTCGTGGCGCGGCTCAGCGGTGGCCGTCCTTTGTGCACTCGCCGCGCTCCATGCAGTGGTCGCGGTAGTGCTGTGCGACGCCGCGGCGGCGGCGGCGACGTGCGCCGGCGTGGCCCCGGCCAAGCACCGGCCGGAGGTGATATCCATCACCGACTTCGGCGGCGTGGGCGACGGGCGGACGCTCAACACGTGGGCGTTCCGCAAGGCCGTGTACCGCATCCAGCACCAGCGCCGGCGCGGCGGCACGACGCTGCACGTCCCCGCGGGCACCTGGCTCACCGGCAGCTTCAACCTCACCAGTCACATGACGCTCTTCCTCGCCAAAGGCGCCGTGCTCAAGGCCACCCAGGTGCGTAGTAGGTAGTACGAGCCATTGCCACCGTGTGCAATGGATGTGTCGATTTCGAGTTCGTTGACGAAAGTGATGTGTGCAATACTGCAATGCATGGGCGGCGGCGCGCGCAGGACACGAGGAGGTGGCCGCTGATGGAGCCGCTGCCGTCGTACGGCCGGGGCAGGGAGCTGCCGGGGCCGAGGTACGCCAGCTTCATCCACGGCAACGGCCTCCGCGACGTCGTCATTACAGGTGACCTGAGCCTCCCTTGCTCGCTCGGCTACCTCCTCTGCCTACTGCGCTGTTGCTTACTGTGTGCCCGTGAGTATCTGGGAGGACAAAGGCAGACAGACACCAGGTCTCCTCATCGGAGAAGACCGAATCCTGCAGACCTGCACAAACAAATTTGCCATGCTACTGACATAGTGTGTACCGCGCGTCCACGCAAAAGGTTCACAAGGCAGCATGAGAGTTCGTGACAACAAAACTGAAGCTTACTCCTATCGAGGAGAAGTTACAAACATCTAGGGTTCTTAAAACTAAAATGCGCACTGCATGAAACTGGGCGGATTAGGTAGCACAAGTTCAGATGGGAGATGTCTTGTGGTATGGTACAACTGATTAAATTATTTACTGCTGGATCACAGTCACAGACAGCACTTTTGTCAGTGGCTTGTTAAACTAAGCTTCAAGCCCATACTAGTACTGGCAGACAGCAGAGCCTAAATTGTACTATCATGGTGCCATGCTGAATTGTTAACTCGCACCAATTCTGAGAACTGAAATGGTCAAGTTAATTCACTATCATCTGGGATTGTGATTCCGCCCCTTTTTCTCATTATTTTTAGGTGACAAGGGAGTCATCGACGGGCAAGGTGAGGTGTGGTGGAACATGTGGAGGCGGAGGACTCTTGAGCACACAAGGCCAAACCTTGTGGAGTTCATGCATTCCACCGGCATTCACATCTCCAACGTCGTTCTCAAGAACTCACCGTTCTGGAACATCCATCCTGTTTACTGCGAGTAAGCGCACTTTCTACTACCTGAAAATATTTACTTGTGGTGACTTAATTTCAGCTTTTACTGTCAGTGTGGTTCTGGAAACAGAATTTCTATTCAGCCAGCCTTGCACGAAAATTCCACGAGCAAACAAAATTGGAATTTTGAATAAAGTCCATGGCCAAAAATCAAGAATCCTGAACCATTGCTACCAAAATTGGACGATGTTCGGTTCCAATCCATACTACCTTTTGGTAAAATAGAGAAGAAACACTGATGCTATGCATGCATTTCTTCTTTCAGCAATGTGGTTGTAACCAACATGATGATCTTGGCGCCACATGACTCCCCAAACACAGACGGAATCGATCCAGGTAAGCTATGCATCTACAGTTCCTGTCTGTGGCACATGCTCAAAGAAACTTGCATGGTGCCTAAACCAGCAAGACAATTCAGACGACGACAGCAACACTGAAGTTCCTGGTGCATGCAGACTCTAGCTCCAACGTGTGCATCGAGGACTCGTACATATCCACCGGCGACGACCTGGTGGCGATCAAGAGCGGGTGGGACGAGTACGGGATCGCGTACGGACGCCCGAGCTCGGGCATCACGATCCGGCGCGTGCGGGGCTCGTCCCCGTTCAGCGGCATCGCCATCGGCAGCGAGGCCTCCGGCGGGGTGCGCGACGTCCTGGTGGAGGACTGCAGCATCTTCGACAGCGGCTACGGCATCCACATCAAGACCAACGTCGGCCGCGGAGGCTACATCCGGAACGTCACCGTCGACAACGTGCGCATGAGCGGCGTGCGCGACGGGGTCCGCATCGCCGGCGACGTCGGCGACCACCCCGACGCGCACTTCAGCCAGCTCGCCGTGCCGCTGGTGGACGCCGTGCGCATCAGGAACGTGTGGGGCGTCAACGTCCAGCACCCGGGGTCCCTGGAGGGCATCAGGAGCTCGCCATTTACGCGGATCTGCCTCTCCAATGTGAAGCTCTTCGGGTGGCGGAACGACGCGGCCTGGAGGTGCAGGGACGTGCGCGGCGCCGCGCTCGGGGTGCAGCCGTCACCCTGCGCCGAGCTCGCCACCAGCTTCGCGTCCGCGGGCTCGTCATGCAGCTAATTAGTGATGCCTAGCTAAGTGCTGACGATGGGTGCGCTTTTAAGTTTGGGCTTTGTTTTACTTGTCTGTGAGACTGATGTCTGTCTGTCTCTCCGTGCCTCACTGGATTACTTTAGGCTTCCTCTGCTAATCGTTCAGAATGCTTAATTAACTGCGGTGTGTGCTTAATCCAAGTACAAATATCTGTGGTACACTGATGGCAATATTGTTCTGAATGATAAAGTACATCATTGGTGTGAGCTTGGGATCAAATTTGGGTATTGAAGGTGCACCTTGCTTCTTTGTTTAATTCTGTTCATGAGGATTATTCAAGTCCTTGAAAGGTTAATATTTTCACGAGGGGTGTGCTCAAACCACTTTCAAGTTTGAGATTAAAGGCGGGTGCGTTTGGCACCGTGAATCCTTTCCAATTCTTCCAAGAATCGGTAGAATCATAGCCAAACAACATAGAAACAAAAAGATTCAGCTCTGAACGGTTTGGAACGATTCACGATACGCCGCCTACCAACGTTAGACTGTCTCCGATGGATGACCCCAAACCCAAAATGGGTCGTGAATGGTACTGTATCAGCCTACAATAGAATGTTTATATGCGATACACATTTTGGGTTACAGCAAAGACATAATCCAAATATGAGTATCCTCTCTCATGGAGACTCATTTGTAGAAAAAGTTCTCTTCTAGATCCTGTTGCTGGAGAAGACAAAAAATAGATATTAAATTATTTACCCGTAGCGCTACCCAAACATGGAATGGTTCTTATATTTTGAATAATGCTGTTGGAGATAGTCTGAGACGGTGAAATATGGTTTCATAGTGATTGTGATTCTTCCTTCTCACATCGTATTTTTCTTTCAGTTAATCAATTTTAAGTACAAGAAGTTAAAATGGGTTGTATTTACGTTGTTTGTTCGTCAAAAAAAGTTTGAAACTCTTTTGAAGCATATTTTCATCCATACGATTTTTTATATGAAAAACCATTTTGTGAATTAGAATCCAGCATACATCCAAATAGTATAGTGATTCTGATTCATCATTTGAAACGTTTCCTAAGAGAATCTGGATCCAAAACATTTATAGGAGAATTCGACTTCCTACCAAACGCACCTTAAATCTGCAAATTAATAGTTACTGGCAAATATGTCCGTGCGTTGCAACGAGAGAAAAAAACTATTATATATTCATGCAAAACGAGAACATAAACGGTACATATCTTATTTTTATGCTTTTATAATTTATTTTATGATGACCGTCACATCCATAATATAAGTTAATGCTGACAATAAATAACAATGTCCTATTAAATATGTATCGAATTAAAATATAACTTGACATATTTTTTTCTTCCGTTGTAAAGTGCATAATTATTTAGTTATAAATATATCATAACTTTATTTTTTTCATACTACACATGTGTTTCTCTGACTCAATATCGACCTTTGTAGCCTTTTTGACGTATCATATCAACCTCCGTAACTTTTTTTTGTTGATATGCTAAGGATTTGTCTGTCCTCCCATGATTATGAGGGAGACCTCTCTTGATTTTTCACACGGCAACCCTCGTCACGAATTACATAAATACATTTGTTTAGATTTCATTAGACAATACCCTGCCCAAAATTTTGGTTGATGAAATAATTAGTTGTACCATTAACTAATCCATATTTTAATAAAAAAAGTTGTGTTTCTAATCAACACTACATCAGATGGTGTAAATCTTTCTCCTCAAAACTTAATGCGCAAACAAACATAATAATTGCCCAGAAGTAGGGGTTATGCACCGGGTCTTGCCTTGGGCAGAAATCGGACAACTGAAAGCTCTAGTTTGGTTTTGGTGAATTGATGAAACTCTAGGAGCTAACCCTTTGCTTTAAGTGATCATGAGATAGGGTAACACATTCCAAGTGATAGAGCAAATGATGATGATCATGAAGATAGTGATGGCCATGGTGATCAAGTGCTGCACTTGAAAAAAAGAAAGAGAAAAACAAAAAGCCCAAAGCAAAGGTATAATTGATAGGAGTTTTTGTTTTTGGTGATCGAGACACTTAGCGAGTGTGATCACATTTAGAATGGATAGCCGTACTATTAAGAGGGCTAAAACTCGTCATGAAATACGGTTATCAAAGTGCCACTAGATGTTCTAACTCATTGCATATGCATTTAGATTCTAGTTTGTGCTAACACCCTCAAAAATGTTTGTAAAAATATGCTAACACACGTGCATAAGATGATACACTTGGTGATTAGCACATTTGAGCAAGGGTGGAGAAGTTGGAGTTTAAAAGGAGTTGACCGCGCTGGTCACAGGGTGATAAGACGCGTCCGACTTTGAGACCGAACGCGTCCGGTATTTGGATCCGAGGTGAGCGACTAAGGCAGAGGTGACCGGACTCTGGTGTGCGTCCGTTCAGTAGCGATCTGATAAGTCCGATCATGCTCTGGACCTCTCGGTGTAGTTTTTCGACATGACCGGACGTTCAGTACTTCGAGTGACCTGACACTGAGCGTTGTGTCCGGTCAGAGGGGGCAGCACGCGTGAGGGTGTGTGACCTAACACTGGCTGCATCCGGTCGGCAGTATCAGACACATTCGGTCACTTTTGAGCGGCTCTGGGAGATCTCTGGACTCGACATGACGCTGCCTCTCCTGCGTCCGATCACTTTCTAACATTGCGTCCGATCAGTTGTGTCAGAGCATGACAGAGAGAGCCGTTGGGGCGCCAACAACTAACTCATTTGAAGGGAACACGTGGCTCTCATGGAGCGACCGAACGCTGCGACCGAACACGTCAGGTCGCCACATCGGACGCATCCAGTCAGTGCGCAGACTGCCCAATAATTGAGCCAGCGGCTCTATTGTTTGCGTGTGTCTATAAATATCGTTTGGCCGGCTTGGACTCACTCTCTTATCAATTTTCATTGACATAGCAACCTAGCGAGCTAAGCCAAAGCTCTTTCACTTATCTCCATTATTGATTCATCATCTTTGTGAGATTGGGAGTGAATCCAAGTGCATTGCTTGAGTGATTTCATCTAGAGGCACTTGGTGATTATGTTTCGCTGCGGGGTTCGCTTGTTTCTCTTAGTGGTTGCCACCACCTAGACGGCTTGGTGTAGTGAGGATCGTTGAGCGGAGGGTGGTGTTTGTCTCTGGCTCTGATCATGGTGATTGTGAGGGGTTCTTGACCTTTCCCCGATGGAGAGCCAAAAGGTACTCTAGTAGATTGCTCGTGGCTTGTAAATCCTTATCTTGTGTGGGTTGTGCGGCACCCGATTGCTGGTTAGGCCTGTGATGCCTATTAGCGTGTGAACCTCCAAGTAAGTGAATCGCCACAAGGGGGACTAGAATTGCCGGCAAGCAAGTGAACCTCGGTGAAAAATCATTGTATCATCTTGTCTCAGAGGATTCCTTTGGTATTCACTGATATATTGTAATTGATCACTTTGCCACAGCGGTATAGCCCTCCTACCTCTCTTGTGCATTTACTTTCTTAGTGTAGCTAAGCTCTTTAGTGTAATTAGTTTTGAGAGCTAGCTTGTGTCTTGTCTAGTGGTTAGTGAGGCTCTTTAGTTAGTCTTTGAGAGCTCACTAACTTAGTGGTAGTAACTTAGCCTCTTTAGAGATCATAGGTAACTAGAATTGTAGATAAAAGGCTTACATTTTGAGTAGGCTAGCGCAACAATCGTATCGCTTCATAATTGTCTAACCACTTGGCTTAAATATTGTTGTAGAAATTTTTATAGGTTATTCACCTCCCTCTAGCCATTAGAACCTTACAAGTGGTATTAGATCCATGGTCACCGTTAAAAGGTCCTAATGGATAGAGGGGGTGAATAGCCTATTAAAAATTCTATAACAACACGTAAGCCAAGTGACTAGTCAATTAAACGGCGAAGCGAGTGTTGCGCTAGCCTACTAAAATGCAAGCCTCCTATCCATAATTCTAGTTGATATGATCTCTAATTCACACAATGAGGCTACGTCACTACAACTAAGTTAGTGAGCTCTCAAAGACTAACTAAAGAGCCTCACTAACCACTAGACACGACACACGCAAGCTCTCAAAACTAATTATACTAAAGAGCTTAGCTACACTAAGAAAGGTAAATACAAGAGTGAGGTAGTGAAGATATACCGCCATAGCAAGAGACAATCAATCAATCACAATGAATACCAATGAAATCCTAGGAGACAATGATGACACAATAATTTATCCCCGAGGTTCACTTGCTTGCCGACAAGCTACGTCCTCGTTGTAGCGATTCACCCATTTAGAGGTTCATGTGCTAATAGGCATCACACGCCTAACCCGCAATCAGGTGCCGCACAACCAACACAAGATGGGGATCCACAGGCTATGAGAAATCCACTAGAGTACCTTTCGTCTCTTCACCGGGAAAAGGTCAAGAACCCCTCACAATCACCATGATCAGAGCCAGAGACAATCACCTTCCTCCGCTCGACGATCCTTGCTGCACCAAGTCATCTAGGTGGCGAAAACAACCAAGAGAAACAAGCAAAATCCCACAACAAAACACAATCACCAAGTGCCTCAAGATGCAATCACTCAAGCAATGCACTTGGATTCACTCCCAATCTAACAAAGATGATGAATCAACAATGGAGATAAGTGGGAGGGCTTTGGCTTAGCTCACTAGGTTGCTATGTCAATGAAAATGGCCAAGAGAGTGAGCTAGAGCCGGCCATGGGGCTTAAATAGAAGCCCCCACGAAATAGAGCCATTGGGCTCCTCACTGCCTGCTTTCACGAGGCGACAGGATGCGCAAGTCCAACTGACCGGACGTGCGGTCTCTAGTGTTCGATCGCTAGATGCCGTCCACATGTCCCCTATGTTCAACGTCATCCGCACGATCTCAACGGTCAGATTCGCCCATGCCAGTGCCCAAGTGACGACCGGACGCACAGCAGACATGACCGGACGTGCCAGTGCCAGCCCTACCCGCGCACGCCCACGCCACCGAGCTCTGACTGGACGC